TTACCCTAACAACTCATCTTCTGGCTACCAGGCTACCTCTTGTCTCTAGCTCTTGACCCCCTTTTTACCACTGAGTTCTTGCATTTGTAATTCATCTATCTTTTTGCTTGGTTCTTTGGTTCCACAACAATTTCTATTAAACACCCTTTGTCTGCCTCTAAGTCTGTATCTAATTGTGCCCACTTTAGTTGCATCCACCTAGTCATCTAGTGCCCCTTCAAAGGTGGGCGACTTATATAGTCACATAAGACTCATACACAGAAGGGCCCTATATTTGACTTAATGCTCTGCTGTTGCCTTGTTAAAATTCTTAATGACTTTATCTTTGAAATTGTGTTTTGTAAGTGAAGTCTGATGGGACGATGGAGCATAAACATGAGCAAAAGAGATAGGTACATCATTCTTTGCAGCCCTATTTGCATATAGCAATCACAATGCCCAGTGAGCACAGAATTCCAATGGGTTCACAATGCATGACAGTTTAGAAGGATCCAACTCCAGCACATGGTAAGAGTTTTAGCTCTATATGCAAGCAGAGATGCTGACAGCACCAAGAAATTAGGCTTTCCATTCAATCCAGAAATTGCCTCAAATGCAGAAAGAAAGCAATAGTGTTGTCATAGCCTTTTCTACTTATGTCACTTCCCTGTATTAGCCAACCACTCAGGCTGAAAATGATGACATAGGAAGAAAGAGTCAGGGTAAACTACAGTTCCTTTTTCTTTTTTTACTCAACAGAAAGCCAAGCATGATAGAAAGTGTGTACATAAACTATGCATATAAAGAAGTGAAATAAAAACAGCTGAGTTTGTTTTATCAGCATTTCCACTGTTTTAATAAGAATAATATGCATATATAAGCTACAAAATGTGAAATGTGTAATTTATATGATTCCATATACAAATTACGTGCTCTTTTATATCCCTTTAGAAGTGGCATTGCACAGTATAAAGATGAACATTAAACTGCATGCCGATAATTTAAATTTTTAATGTTATTATAATGACATTAAGTAGCAAATAAAAACACCACGTCAAGTCAAGGGAGAGAGACAGCATGAGAGAAAGAAAAAAGCTTTACCTTTTAAGAACTTTAATGATATCTCTCCCCTGCCTTTTGAAGAAGGAGCCCCACAATTCCAGTCTGCACTGGGCCCCACAAATTATGTAACTGGCCCTGGTCCCATGGCTTTAAGTCATATCTATAAGCACTGATAAAACTGGTTTCCACCCAAGGCCTTTTCCCAGTGTGACTTCTCTAGACCCTGTCTGGGCTTCAGTTGGGACCAATGGAGATTATTTTCCCCTTTGGTATAATAAACTAAAAAAAAATCTCTCCCAAACATAGCTCTAAACCAGCGGTTCTCAACCTGTGGGTCGGGACCCCTTTGGGGGTCGAATGACCCTTTCACAGGGGTCGCCTAAGACCATCGGAAAACACATATATAATTACATATTGTTTTTGTGATTAATCACTATGCTTTAATTATGTTCAATTTGTAACAATGAAACTGGGGGTCACCACAACATGAGGAACTGCATTAAAGGGTTGCAGCATTAGGAAGGTTGAGAACCACTGCAATGGGAAAATGGAGGTAAAATGACACAGTAGGGGCTTACCCAAAGTCACAGTATATGCCATGGACAGAGGCCTAAGCTGACTCCCATCTTGTCTTTAGACCCAATGCCGTGGCCTGTCTGCACCAATCACCACTGGTATTTCAGTCTCAAACATCATTTGAAAATACCAACAAAGTCATTATGCGCTGCAACCTTTTTATCACACCCCAGCTGAGGCCACCACAGCCCCACAGGAACAGATGTAGAGCAAAAGGCTCTGCCCTTCAAGAAGTTCTGCACAGAACATTCCAAGGCCCCGGGGAGTCCTGTTTTGTTGAAGGTCAAACGGAGTTGATCAACAGGCCAATACATGCTTCCTTTGCAGCCTTGGTAAAGACTGGATTCCTATATCGCCCCAGGCAAGTGAGGAAGTCTTTTCTAGCCATTGTATCAAAGACATTAGAATTCTTAAGGAACAAGATGCTTCCCATCTCTTTCCTTGAATTTCTTAGAGAATAGAATAACCAAGTCCTGGCATCTTGTACCATTGACCAGATCCCTACCAATCAGAAGAAACGCCAATCCAGGAGAAACTACAACTGTGAACACTTTGCAAATTGCCTGCACACCCTTCATGTGGCCCCTTGAAGTCACCCAAATGGATTTTTTCCTAGCTGCCTCCTTGTTATTGTCTTGGAGCCTTCCATGCAGGGTACAAGACTCCATTGAACCTAGTTTCCTCCAGAAGCCTCACAACAGCCTTTTGTTTAGGGCTGTGATACCCTTAGCAACACGGCCTCTACCTGCAGGTACTTCTGGGCTAGTCCAAATTCCTTCTAACCCCCAAACCTCTCCCTCTATGCCCCGCTGTGTAGAGGAGGATGGGTCCTTGAGAGAACACCTTCAGACTGCTCCCGCCGGGAGCCTGCTGGGCAACTCAGCTGCCACTGCAGCCCCGATGGAAAAGTCAGTTCCCCTTTTTTCCAGAACAAACTTGCAGTAGCTGTCTGCTTCCTTTTGGCAGACACAAGAGGGAAAGGACATCTTACAGGCCACACTGCACTGCTCTGGCTCTAACAAGAATAACAGCGATAATCGTTCCTCCCCTTTCCATTAAATAATAACTGTAAATACACATTTAAAAAAATGTATGTCACCATTTAAAAGAATCTTCATGAACATGTTTTAATGAGATGTAAAGTGCTTCGGACATATGGTAAGTGGAAATAAAAGCAGGATACCGGAGGTCCTTTGTTTATAAACAGTTTACATGTATGTATAGAAAAAAAATAGAGGAAGGAACTATATCACAATGGATTCCTTTAGGGGGTGGGGTTAAAGGGACTTTTCTATTTTCTTCCTTAAACTTTTTGGTATTTTCTAAAAGACAGTACATTCTGTAGGTAGGTATCACTTTTGTAATCCAACAAGAAAGGACAGGGTTCTGTTTGCCAGGATTTCTGCAATAGTAGTAACTGATGCTATGTACTGTCCAAAGGCAACCATCAGGCTTCTACTTCTCCGGGTGACTTCTGTGTGGATCCTTTCTCTCAGCTGAATTTTCTATACAGGATACCTATTTTGGCTTTGACAAGACTGCTCTTTTATGTGAAACTTGTCAATATTTGGAAATAGCCCTGTCAGAACTGTGAATCAAGATACTGTATTTCTTTCTCCTGGTTATCAGGGCTAAGAGCTCCCAACAGAATTTTCCGAGTGTAAGGGCTCCAGAGTCTATCTGAGCCTGGACTCCAGGGAGAGAGAGTCTAGACTAGAGGATGCTGATTTTGCCCAGCAGGGTGTGATGACAAGAACATAGATTTGGAATTACATGGCTATAGAACTGCAGGGGTTTTTTACTCTGCAAAACGATGCTCATATTTCTTTTATTGAGTTGTTTTAAGAATTTAAAAAGACAATGTATGTAGAGGGCCTAGCATAGTGCACACAAATTATCAGTGGTAAGAACTGTAGAAGGCAGCAGAGTGGACAGCTCTTCCACCTCCACCCCTACCCATAACACACTGAAGTTTTCCAAAGTGTATGTGGAATAAGGGTAGAAGGGGAGGAGCTGTCCAGATCTTAACCACGCCCTGACTGGGCTGGCCTGACCAAGGACGGACACATCTTTGGTCTCACCATGGAAATATAACCACCACTTCTGGGCTGGGCGATGGGCAGTGCTAGCCACAGGCCAGCAGCCAAAAGTATGGGGTGAGGGACAACCCCAGAATGCCCATGGATAATACCAAATATGACTCCATTACCACTCTGAAATCACTGCATTAGCGATCCAGACTGCCTCTTCCTCCACCCACAGCCACTCTGCCCTTTAACTATTCATCAGGCAGTAAGAAGCATGCCAGAGACTTACAGGAAATACAGGGAATCATGCTGTATCTTATGAGGGACGGACATATTCCATCTTTGCTGTACTACAACTTCATCTGCTGCTGTTTTTACTAGAACTGCTATCAGCACCACCATTTCTACAATTGCTGCAGCTATTACTATTAATTAAGTTTGTAAACTACGAATTTCAAAGTGCCTGGGTTTTGCCTGATGAAAGATAATAGTGGACATGGCATTATGGGAAGGCAGGCTGGCACTAGAAACCTCAAAGGGAACAGCCGATCTGCACTCAGGAACAGAGCAGGATTATCAATATATATTTTTTCATGCCCCAACTGCCTGGACTCCAGCCGCATTCCCAGCCACACCTAGTCCCTCTCCCCGCCCTACTCAGTTCCAATGTCTGTAGCTAATTTAGGCAATTTCAAGGGTTAATGGACTTTTGTTTGGTCAGAGGAGCCGGACCATGCCAAAATCCCACCAAATGGGGAGGGAGAAGAGGAGAAAATGCGTCTAACATGTAAGGCCACTGCCTCTGTCAGCATCTCCCATCTTCTAAGAGGATGGCCCTGGAAAGACCCAGTCTCTTCCCTAATTTTTAGAGACTTTAAATTTTCCTGTGCCAAAGTTACATGTTTCAATAATGCTTGACTTGGCCTGCAATCCCCAAAGCGAACTGGAGAATGCATACCTCACCTTCTCATCCCAGTAGAAGGGCTTCCTTTCTCTGCACACCTAGCAGCCAGCTGGTGTGCGGACCAACACTACACGGAGTGAGGAGGCGGGAGGAAGGGAGGAGAGTGAGAACGTAGCCCAGCCAGCCCAGCCAGCCCAGCCCAACCTGGAAGCTAGTCTCCCTTAGAGACCACCTCTTCACCTGGCAACCGGGCCCCAGCAGGGCTCCGAGAGAAGAAAGTGGCATCTTGGAATCCATTTTGCTCAAGACGTTGAAGGCATCTTGGCAAACTTCCCTTTGCTGCTACTGCCTTTGCTCCTGGGGCCAAGTGAACTTGGGGAAGGGCCTCAGCCATAGGGATGCGGTTATTTGGGGAGGAGGTGAGTGAGGGCCAACTCTGGCTCCAATGGTACCTGCCGAGAGAGAGCAGTCGCTAGGCGTATCGAGGGCGCGGGTGGCCCACCCTGGCGCTGCTGCCCGCATCGGACCCACGTCTGCTGGGGAGTGATAGTAGCAGCAGCCGCCGCCAGGCCAGCTGGGATCCCTTCTGTCTCTGTCCAGTTATTTATAGGCGCGATTTACGATGGGTGCGGGGGAAGGGACGCGGGATGACAATGAGTTTTGGAAGGTATAATGCTAAAAGTCACACTTTTCCCAAAGCGCCCCCTCCCAGAGCAGCACGGTCCCAGCGGGGGAGTGTGCATCGCGGGGCGCCGCAGTGGTCCGCTGCACCCCAGGCCTCAATGGCAGCAAAATTCAGATATATGCCAAAGAATATCTTCACTGATACAGCTCCTAGGGCAATAGAAACTAAAGAGAAAATAAACAAATGGGACTAAATCAAAATAAAAAGCTTTTGAACAGCAAAAGAAACCATGAACAAAACAACAAGAAAGCCTACTGCATGGGAGAACATATTTGCAAATGTTATCACTGATAAAGATTTAATCTCCAACATTTACAGGAAACTCATACAACCTAACAAAAGGAAGATAAACAATCTAATCAAAAAATGGGCAAAGGACCTAAATAGACACTTTTCAAAAGAGGACACACTGCAAAAGTGTTCCTACAAAGGGTTTTGATATACTGTATATGTTCTCCTAATTTACTGACTCCCCACATTCCTTTTCTGCTATCCAAGCCTATCTTTCCCTTTGTCTCGATGATAACTCTCCCTTTAAATACCTTCCCCTTTCATATTCAATATTCCTCCACCTTTTACATGAGTCTTTTATAGTTTGTATTTTCTTTTTAAAAGAGTCAATTTATCATTTTTCCCTCTTTCCTTTTTGGCTTTCTTTTTTCCTTTCAAATGTTTTTGCTATTATAACTAGTATGTACAATGTTACCTCACTGCCCTCTGGGGCTAGCGTTATGGGGGGCTGCGGGCCTGATTGGGGTGGCGGGGATCGTCGCTGACCCGGAAGAAGCTGGGCTCGCCCGAAAGAGGGGAGGATTAATGACAAAGACGGCCCGGTTCTTTCCCATTCAATCCAGTCCTCTGAGACGCGCTGGGTCTGAAAGGGGCGAAACGGGGAAGGAGTGTGTGTGTGCGTGCGTTGTGCGTGTGCGTGTGTGTGTAAGTGTGCAGGGAGGGGGGACGCCAGCGACGAAACGCGTGCAGACTCACCCTCAATAGATTTCTTAGAAACTAAAAACAGAGGTGCAGCGAGGAGCAAGGGGCGTAGGCACGAGCCATGGCTGTTCTTTTCGGTAAGGCAGTCGCATTTTAAGGTGGCAGCGCCTTTTTTTTGTGCGGAGCCGGGTGCAGCCGAGGTGTGTCTCCGCGCGCGGCCGCCGGAGCGCCCAGGGCACCGCGCACGCAGCGTGCGGGGCGTTGTGCCCCAGGAGCCGCCGTGCGCCCACACCGTGGTCTGCGGGCAGCTGTGCCGCCTGAGTCACGGACACCGAGATGGAAAACACCTGTTACTGCCGGTCAGCAGGCTTGGCGCGCGGCGGGTCTAGCTTCCATTTCCCGGACAGTTCCGCGCCCCTCCGCAGGAGGCCATTTCTTCCCTCATTCATTCTCAGGTCAGCCCCGCATGTCGGCCGCGTGCAGGGATTTGTTGAGACCCAGCGGCAGACGAAGATAGGCCAGTGACTGCCCTGCTCTCAAGTTAACTCCCAGTCTCCTGGGGAGGGGACCCCGCCCACCCTTAGAGTCACTCCCCCAGATAAAGGTGGGTAAATGTTACCAGGGAAGGGCAGAAGGTGCGGTGCAGAGCGGAGGAGGAGAGAGAGGAGGCCCTTTAAGCAGTGGTGGATCTGCAGACTTTACGGAGGAATGGCATTGGAGGGCTTTGAGGGGTGGGGAGTAGAACTTGGGCATGAGGAAACAGAAGGAAGTGACATGTCAGCCAGAGTGAGAAAATAGAGCAGAAATCATGATGCTTGAAATCTCGAGTGTGTTTAGGGCAGTGGTGGCCTACACAGAAGTAGTGAGAAATGATTGGGTTAAATTATGGAGGCATTTGGATGAAGAGCGTGGATTTTATTTTGTAAGCAATGGAGAAGCCTGACTTTTTTTTTTTACTACCCCACTTCTTTATGGTGAAAAAATATATATATCAGTGGTTTTCAAGACATGGTTTCCACACCTGCAGCATCAGTGTCACCTGGAGATCTGTAAGAAATGTACATTGTAGGGTCGTGCTCCAGCTCTATTAAAATCTGAAACTCTAGGGTGGGGTCCAGCACCTGTCCTTTCACAACCGTCTGGTTGGTTCAGACCCACACACAAGTTTGAGAACCCCTGCGCCAAAACCTTACTACTCAGAGTGTAGGCCTTGGGCAAGTAGAATCAGCACCACCCAGGGGCCTGTTAGCCATGCAGAATCTCTAAAAACCCAGGCCTACTGACCCAGATTCTGCACTTTCACAAGATCTCCAGGTGATACCTATGCCTATTTGAGTGTGAGAAGCACCGCTCTAAAGGATCTGCCAAGTAGAGAAGCAGATAAAACCCCCAACCCTACACTGTCACTCAGATATATTCGTTGTTAATATTTTGATATAATCCCTACGGGCTGCTTTCTATACATCTATATTTGTACCAAGTCCTCTTTTAACGAACATGAATTGTATGAGTCAATATATACAATGCTCTGCTCTTTATTACTTTACATTATATGTGATCAGTCTTTTAAAACTTCATTCTAATGGCTTTATAATATTCTTTTTATGTCTGTATTAGTGTACTTAACCATTTGCTATCATATTGAATACTGTGATGATAAAAATAATAGATTTCCACACAGTGCTTACTTTGTGCCAGGCACTAGGTTAAGCACTTTACATATAGTAATCCATGTAATTCTAACAACCCAGTGAAATAGGCACTATTATTATCCCCATTTTTAAAAATATATATATTTTCATTGATTTCTGAGAGAGAAAGGGAGTGGGAGATAGAAGCATCAATGTTGAGAGAGAATCATTGATCAACTACCTCTCGCACGCCCCCTAGTGGGGGATCAAGCCTGAAACCCAGGTATGTGCCCTGACGGAATAAATAGAATTAGTAGTGACTTCTTGGTACAAGGGCCCGCCCTCAACCACCTAGCCACACCATTTTCAATAGCAGCTCACAGAAACTTGCCCGAGGTCACACTGCTAATAAGTAGTGGAGCTGGGATTTAAATTGAAGCAACCTGCTTTCAGAATCTATAGCCTTAATTATATTCATACTTAAGTTTTTGTCGTAATTTCTTTTTCCTTACAAGAAATTCTGATGTCAATTTCTAAAAAATGTCTTGAAAAATATTGTCAGTTTCCCTTTCAGAAAGGTTGTAGTATTTTGTGCTTCCACCAGCAATGTACTAGTTTCACAACATCCTTGCCAACATTGAGAGTTACACTTAAAAAAAATTTTTTTCTAACCTAATAAATGAGAACTCTATATTGAATGAACTGGGATCTCTTTAATTATAAGATTGGACATTTTTCATACATGTAATTGCCATTTATAGAGTACTGAGGGCCTTTTGACGCAATCTTACTGTACTAAATGATACCTTATATGTTACAGGACATTTCTTCAACATCTTCAATCTCATTTAATCCTCGCCTTAGCCTCAGAGGAGGAAATGATTCTCTACTCACACAGAGGTTTCTGACCAGTGAGGTATCATAGTTCAGTGGTTAAGAGGTTTTGGGTTCAGATAGGTGTGGGCTGGAATTCTGTCTTTGCTGCTTCCTGGGCAAGTTATTTAACTTATGAAAACTTCAAATTTCCTCATTCATTAAATGTTGATACTACTTCATGGAATTCTTGTGAAGCACACTGAGTGCTGAATAGATGGTAAGTTTAATCATTACTCATTAAATCCTGTCGTTATTGGATCCCATAAAAATGTTATGGCAGCCCTGGTTGGTGTTGCTCAGTAGGTTGGAGTGTCATCCATGTACAGAAGGGTCAAGGCTTAGATTCCCAGTCAGGGCATATACCTAGGTTTCAGGTTCTAACCCTCGTTGGGGCACATATGGGAGGCAATCATTGATGTTTCTCCACATAGATGTTTTTCTCTTTCTCTCCCTCTCTCTCTCTCTCTCTCTCTCTCTCTCTCTCTCTCAAAAAAAATCAATTAAAAAACACACACATATAATCCGGGTGAAGAGTCAAAAAAGTTCTGGCAGACATATCTGCTATCCCCTTGCCTTTTTTATTTTAAGGTATTGTATCAGGTAGAAGAAAGAGAAGACACTGGGGGTTGGGTGCTCTGAGTTTTTATCATTAACTTCCTGCTCAGATAGGAAGAACTACTGAAGGCAAATATTGGGCGAAGATCCAGGCATGGGATTTGGCTACTGTCCAAAATAAGATGTGGGTAATGACAACCATAACTGTTTAAAGGTGAGAAATACTGATGTGCCAAGTTACCTTTTGATTTCCTGTTCCGTCCTGGCTTAATAGTACAGTAGCTTGTGCTTAGATTTTGGGCTTGAGGACAGGGCTGCAAGAGACATGTAATCCACGTGGTGCTCAACTGTGTATGAAACAGAGCTCAACATGAGAGCTTAATACTAGCTTGGATGAAGGAGAGCTTGAGTGAGGAAGGGAGGGGATATTATGGGTGGCGGGATGCAGTGAGAGCAGACTTACTATGCCCATCTGTCCCACTCAGCAGAGCTGTGTGGGTATGTCTAGAACTGTTTTGTTTACTTGTTTTTAGTATGTCTGTATCTGTCTAATCCACTCATTGGTAAATTTGTGCTGGTGTCTCAGAAATTTTCTCCCTTCAAATGTAATTAAAGAGGTGCCAAAAAGAATTTCTCAAGTATCCTGTCATTAACTATTGACCATATGCAGACGACTATTTTTGGAAGTGAGCAAAGACTGAAATGACAGACAATTTGGGCATGGGTTTAGGATTCAGAAACTCTGTGCTTCTCAAACTTTAACAGGCGTATGAATCCCAATCTTATTAATGCAATTTCCCGATTCCATTCATGTATAGGATGGGCCCAAGGTTGTGCATGTCTAACAAACTACCAGGTGAGGCTGATCCTGCTGGTCCATGGCCCACATTTTGAAGAGCAAGTATTTAGATCAGGGGTGGGGAACCTCTTTTCTGCCAAGGGCCAATTGGATACTTATAACATTATTTGCTTAATGGAATTCACTTAATATAAATTTATGTTGCTATGAATAAAGCTCCTAGCCT